TAGGGGAATGATGGAGGGAAGATAGTAAGTTGGCCTTGGCGGGAAACCTTCTCCGCATGCGCAGTAAGACAGGCAGCAGAAACTCCAGAATCTTCCTCCAGCACAATTAGTAGTCCCCTCTCAAATACCATGCCCCCCCTCCCCGATTCAATGGCAACCGAAGCAGCAGCAAAGCAGAGGCTGACAAATATAGCATCTTCTAGAGTCATCCAACTATTGTTGTGTCAATATATAGTGAAATCATTCTGCATTATAAAGTACAGAAATAATCCTTTGGTCATCTGTGAGAGTATTACAGATGATCCTGATATGGATAACAATATAGTTTACTAAAACCTAGCAGAATACTAAAATCTGCAAAATGTCTGTGTTGGCTCAAATCTTACAAGATTTCAGATGGGAAAGCTCATGATATTTTGGGTCACTTAGTTAAGGTTTGAAGTTTGTATGACACACTAAAGCTCCCCGGGCTATGACTCACGTAAGCAGGTCATACCAGTGAGATGTAAGGAACAATAACGTAAGATGCAAACAATTATAAATGCTGTCCGAAATAGAAAACTTGTGACATTATACAACATTGATAAGAAAATGCCATACGGCTGAGGCACAATTGCATTTTCTGTTCAACTTTATCGAATGCTATATTTAAATGAAAAAATACCAAATTTATGCACGCTAAATATGGAAGATTTTATTTTCCTTTCAGCTAGAGAATGGTGGTGACATGGCCTTTCAGACAGACTTTAACACCCAAGCGGTGAGATTTGGTCTTATGCTCAAGGAGGTAAGCTGTGAAGAACTTGCTAAATTAAGTGGGAGAAATTGCAAAATGGAGCCAACAGAATCTCTTACACAATCTTCCAGGGCAATATCGATGGGAATAAAGTGCATTGCTGAAATCAAAGAAACCGACTGCAATACAATTTATTCCTAATTTGTCTACACCAGAGATAGTATTCAGCAAGTTCTGACCAGTTCTGGGGAACCTGTAGTGGAAATTTTGAGTAGTTCAGAGAACCGGTAAATACCACCTCTGACTGGCCCCACCCCAGTGATGGGTTTCAAAAAATTTTGGAACCTCTTCTGTAGGTGTGGCCTGCTTTCCGGGTCCACTGATGTAACCTCTTCTAACCGGTTCAGTAGATTTGACGAACTGGTTCTACTGAATAGGTGCGAACTGGTAGGAACTCACCTCTGCTCCGCCCCCATCTATTCTCTGCCTCCCGAGTCCCAGCTGATCGGGAGGGAATGGGGATTTTGCAGTAACCTTCCCCTGGAGTGGAGAGGGAATGAAGATTTTACAGTATCCTTCCCCTGCCATGCCCACCAAGCCACACCCACCAAGCCATGCCACACCCACCAAGCCATGCCACAC